TGCAGGCCCAAGAGGGTGAGCTTCAACGCACGCCCTCTGATTCGTCGAATATTTCGGAGGACGAAACTATACGACGGGAAAAAATTAACCGGGCAGAGGGGCCGGAAGTGGGCAGAGATTTCGTTTGACGGAAATAAATCCGTTTCATAAAACGGAGTTAGTTTCTTTTATTTCTAATTCTCGTTTTACCGTTTATTTCGCGTTAAAGATGGTAAGAAATTGAGTTTGAAGAAAGGGAAAAGGGAATATCCGTGATCGAACATTCGTTCGATTCAGGTATTCGTCTTTTTTCTCAACAACGAATTTTTTTCGAAATATGTTTCGGAATATAACATTAAGTGTGTGGTGATTATTGTTTTAAATTTTGCTGGTCGAAAACGGTATCTTTGAGTGTAAGTAATCGCGAAGAAGAAGGGAAAGATGCGACGCGGAGAAGTTGCGGAAAACGGAATTCGCGTTACACGTAGAACGGACCTCGGTCTCGCAACACGAAAGGGTAGTTTTAGCCAGAGGCATCGGTTGTCTGCATTCGACATATTGTCAATTTGCCGCTGCTCGTCTCGCCTGTTTAAAATCGATCGCGTACAGGCATATATGCCTCTGTGTGTTTCCACCGCCCAAGTGTTCGTTGCCATTGTTGCCGTTCGTCTCTCTTGATATAAGCCGTTCGAAGAGAAAGCAAAAAAGGAAAAGAAAAAAAAAAGAAAAGAAAAAAAAGAAGAACAAAAAAAATACGAGCGTTCTTACTTGAATCCGAAAATTAAACCGATCCGTCTGTGAGTTACTCTGATTTTTGATCCAAGCTGGAAAACTCGTTTAAAGGATCGTTTTGATCGAAACACCGTCCTCTGTTATAATGATTATCTTTTTAACAATTTACATTTCGAATTTTCTCGCTAAAAGTGCATTGAACTCGGTTAATCGAGTTGTTGGAGTACGATCGTAACGATAATTAAACATTAATTAAGTAGTCGCAAAAAGTGGATGCAGCAGCTGGTCGTGGGCAAAGATAAAAATTACAAACGGGGAATATTTGAAATACGAATTGCATTGTAGCCGGAGGATTCCTGCGGTGCGCGCACGAATCGTGCCGTGCATTCTCTGGTTATGTTTGTTTCATTAAACCGGAGAATTCCAACGTATTTTTGGAAGCATAGGAACCGGGCGAAACCGCTGGTTACACCATTTTCCGTCGTGTGGAGCGTTCATTCGGCCGCGCGCATATCGCCACGCGACGTACTTCAAAATTTCTCGCCGCCATTCCCGCTCCATTCGGTGATCGAATACTACGTGCCGACCACGTTAATTATCTTTAATACGATTATCGATGTATTTCCATACACTGACCCGAATATTCCGTTTAAAGATCGCGGATAAATTAATAAGATACGCGCGGTCGAACTCAACTCGTTCGCAAGATTCCGAAAAATCGGGCATAATTTAAGCGTCTAATTTCCGTCCGTGCGTAGAGGTCGGTCGAAGAGCCGCTTTGAAAGCAGTACGTCTCGAATATTAACTCCACGTTGTAAATTATTTTCATATTAATGCAAGAATGCCGAACAGTCGAACGATGGAAGCGTTCTCCCATGTTTATTAAATTTCTTTGACATCCGCGCCCCTTCTGAAGGCAATATGGATTCTTGGTATCTACGCGTGGCATTTCTGCAAAATTTGCCTCTCCTCTAAGAGATCGAAATTTTTCTTCCTCGAAATTCTTTTTTTTCCGTAGTTTTCCTCCTTGTTCTTTCGTGTTAATTGTTTTTCAGAAATTCAAAACCGCGTCGATAAGTCTCGCGTCGCAACAGAGGTAACGACGATTAACCCGTTTCCGTGATAAAAACGAATTTCGGTTATTTGTCGACACGTAGTATTTCAACGTTTATTACGAACTTATTTCCACGCTGAAATAACCGTTCCCAGTGACGCACGCCGCTGGACAAGTATGAATTTTCGCTTCGACGTTCGGGAAATAAAGCGTTCCAACGTTTTTCTTTTCCTCTATTACTCTTTTTTCCCCAGCTAACGTTTTCAACAAACTGTACAATTGAATATTTTTAATCGCGCATCGTGCAAATAAGATAAAACAAAGCAAATAAAGTAATAACGTATCCAAACTATAAATGCAAAATAAACAAAAACGAATTTTAATTGATCCGCGTCTATGAATTTCTCTCATTTCAATTTGTATTTAATTCTTTTTTATATTGAATAATTTATAGCAATGAATGTAAATTATCTATGAAATTTTCATAATAGTAAAAGTATTATCTAAAAATTCATAGAAAATGTAAAAAAATACTAATAAAATAATCATAAATAAATTTACTCGATGAATCAAAGAAATTACCAATTCCATAGACAATGATAGCGATATAATTCATTCGGAGAAATATTCACAGATATATATATAGATCATATAGCAACGTGTCACACTATACCAGGAAGATGTGCGACGATGCTAATTAATAACTTAAACGTACAGCGACGAAGTAGCACCAGACAACAATGGTCCGGCACACACGTACCGAGGAGTCAATCTACTTCCTTTTAACTCTCTTGTAATCATTTCCTCTTACGTCTTACGTCCTTACGCGTACAACAATATTCCTAGATATTTTCCTAAAATACGACTTGAAGAGATTCATCGAGAGTTCTCGATCCCAAGCGTTGCGATAAATATCCCCTCCTCGTGTGAGCAATGGCAAAAATTGGTCGTGTGTTCGAATTCAGGGAGAGAGAGAATATCAATCCCGGCAAACAAGCTTACGTCGATGAGTAAGCAAAGTTGATCTCTGGCATATCGTTGATGGGTGACGTTGTAAGCGACACGGCCGATTTCCGTCTTCGCTCGACATCCGCCACCTTATAAAAAGGGTAGCTATTGAATTAAAAGGACGTAGCGAATAAAGCGGCCGGGCTACGCGGCTACGGTATACCCAGGCCAAAGAGGGAAGAAGCACGAGAGAGAGAGAGAGAGAGAGAGAGAGGAGGAGGAAGGAAGGGAAGGGGAAGGTAGAA